GGACCGACTTTCCCACCAACATCAACAAGCCTCCGTCAGTCAAAATTCATATTAGTGGTCCACAGGATTTAAAATTATGAGTTGGGTAGTCCCTGAAGTCCAAAAGGTTGGCAACCCCGTTTTAAAGGACAGAAGCAGTTACATACAGATTAGATTAAAAAAGGGAAAACGAGACCAGAAAACTTGTAATGTTAATGTCTCTGTTATTAGGAATCAGAATAGATTGTCAGATGGTGCAAGCACTTAAAAGAAAAGATTCTCAGGAATCAGCATAAATTTATCAAGTCATTTCCAATTAGTATTTTTAATGACAGCCTCTAATTTGGTATACCATAGGTATACAAAACTATACCTATATAATGTCACTGAGTTTAGTAGTGTCTGTCAAGGTGGCATCCTCGAAGGTTGTGATAACTTTATTTTAGAAAGATACAAATGGACTAAAGGTGCAGTTAAATTTGAAATAAAATTTTGGAAATAATTATAAAGAATCCATCCCGTGGGAAATGTTTTTATTTTGACTTAAAAAAAAAAAAAACTATAAAATTTTAAAAATTGCATGCTAGAGAAAACTAAACATTAAAATTAAAGTAGAACACAAATTCAACTTAACAGTTATGGAATGGAGCATAATATTTTAACACCGGACATATTGAAGAATACTTTTAAAAATTGGATTGAGAAGATAACATTAATAGTGTTAACAGTGTGAAGAAAACAAATTCTGACAAGTGGGACTGCATTACAAAATAGAAACACAGAAGGAATGTTTGCTAATTGGCACATAAAAATGCAATGTGTGCCTGGGTATCAGGAACACTTATCAACATTTCTACAGTAACATTTCTTTTATTAAGACAGTACCTTTTGTTTCCTTGAAGATAGGAACAGTAGAAGGGCGGAGAAGTAACCTGAGGTTTAAATATTTAAGCTTTGTTTGTTTGTATGTTTATTTCATATTTCTTTACTGCCCATCTCTCTCAGCAAGAGGATTTGGGCAGTGTACAATACATACATATGTATGACTGTATTATTTTTGTCCTCCTATCGGGAATGTATGAGTACATCCTTCTGTTCAGGAGTTCCTTCCACCATTTCCTGGAGCGAATTCTTCAGTGTGCATGGTTAACTATCAATATTGCAATAGGTCTTGATTATAATACTTCAGCTTCAACCACAACAGTACAAGAGCACACAATAGATACAAACTCAAGGTAAACCGCATCAAACTTGATTGCAGGAAATACGACTTCAGCAACAAAGTGGTCAATGTCTGGAATACTCTACCTGACTTTGTGGTTTCTTCCCCAAACCCCAAAAACTTTAACCTTAGACTGTCTACTATTGACCTCACCCCTTTCCTAAGAGGTTTATAGGGGGCGTGTATAAGCGCACCAATGTGCCTACCGTCTATGTCCTATTGTTTCTTCTTATTCATAGCCATTTCATGTATTCATAACCATGTTTATACTTATACCTGTTATCTAATACTTGCTTGACAAAATAAATAAATAAAATAATAAAATAAATAAATACATAAATATTTGCTTTGAGTCCTGCATTTTAATTCCACAAGAGACCTCTGCATCTATGGAGAAACTGTGTCTAAAAGATGTTGTGAAACGGAAACAAGTTTTATCAGACAAGATTGCAATTGAGTTATCGGGTAGATTTACAAATGACGAGCTACAAGAATAACATGGAAAAAGATGTCACACCGGACATACAGAAGAAACCAGCTGATGTTTTAATAATTAAAAAGGATATACAAATATACCAAGAGCAATCTGAATAATTTTGCTTTATTGGATTTACAAAAACATTTGTTAATGTTTTGAAAAATCTTGTGAGAAGGGACAAAGAAAAAAATAAAAAGAAATCAAGTTCACTGACATTATTTGAATGGACTAAATATTATGACAAGTCCTTCCTAAATTTCTTTCTCTGCCCTTTTATTGAGAACTTTCCAAGGTAGGATCTCTTCCCCTTGCGTCATCTACATAACCCTCAATGGACTTTGCTCACATCAGGACTAAAATGACAGCTACTTTATGACTTTGTCTATAGATAAGATATGGGATATGGGAAGAGAGATCATCTGTTGTATTTTAAGAGGATAAGTAACTAAAATTGTTTATAGTTGTGATGAAGGTTGGAAGTCACATACATACATATTTTTTTCTTTACTATATTTTTATCTTTCTTTTCTATTTCTTTTAAAGTTTTTTCATTTTTTTCTGCATCTTCTACTCTTTATTTCTATTCATCTACCTTTCTTTCAGATTTTATCTTAATAGCCGGATATAGTTTAGGGTGGTATATGAGGGAAGTAAAGCATGTGTGAATTAGGAGAATATCATTACTTGTTAATGTTAATGGCGTGTTGGTTAGACACATCATTTATACATATACTTTGGTAATGATATGAAACCGTAATGGTGTCTGAGATCTGAAATGATCTGCAGTGAATGATGGAGTATGTGATGAAACAAGGAATACGGATCAGAAAAGTAATGCATCAAAGATTAAGACTGTGGCATTTGACAGTGAAAATAAACTTATTAGTTATCAAAATGCCCTCAAACAAGAACCAAGTAGATGCCTTGATGGAACCAGAAGCCTAGAAATGAACACAAAAAGACATAATTTAAGACATATAAATGGTATTAGAAAGATAGTGAATGATATTGTGAAGAATTCATTTATTGAAAGAAAATATACTGGACATAAGTATGTCCAATTTGTTATATGTTAGGGAGAGTTAAGTGCATTAGAAGAAATATAAAAGTAATTCATAAGGGTTATGGTGAAACAAGAAAAGATAGGATAACAGCAAATATTTACTGAATTAATTTGATTGATATAGCGTAACCTGTATGAAAGAAGCTGGGTTTGATCATAAAGAAGCTGGGTTTGATCATAAAGATAAAATGAATAAAGATAGGATGAAAAAATGCAGAATAAGTTCACAGAATTGCAAAGCAAATTATGAAGGAAGAATAAGTAAGTCAGGGAAGAGGAGCAGGAAGACAGAGAAAGTCGAGTTGGATATACTGTAGTTGATGAAATTTTTTTAAAAAGGTGAATAAGACGAGGTATGAAATACATACTGAACATTATACTTACACAATAGCATGAATGGCATGTGTTTACATTGAAATGACCAGTTTATTTCAAGCAGGATTTTGAAAAGGAATTATGATTTCTTCTTTTCCTTTTCCTTTTATGATGTTTTTCTGCATGGTCATTCAATTCCTACTTTAATTCTATCTTCACATAGCACAAGCAAGTCTCCACTGACATCTATTGAATAAGATGTTCAAAACCAAATGATTTAAACCACTTCATGCTCTGATTAATTTTAGCTAAAGTGTGAAAACCTCAAGGATTAGCAAATAAGAAAAGTTTTTTTACTGAGGGAAAAAAATTGAATAAACATTAACTATAATTTATCTTATCTACTAATTTTTCATTTTCCATTCTGTGACTAAAGATCAAAAAACAAAAACAGTAAACCCTAGAGTGAATTAAATTTTATTTTAAGTTTTGCTAACAAATACTTCTGTTTCGTATCTCATCTCATATCTTATGGCATTACGTTTACACTTTGAAATTTGTATAAAACACGAGTATGCAAATGTTCCCTTCTCCCCTGAACTAAAAGATTATTAAAAATGTACGTTTTATTTATAAGAACCGTTGGCAGTCAGTGGAGACGTGAAACTCTTGCAGTGAATACATGGGACATCTGCCAGATCTTCTGCAGAAAGCCAGTTAGAATCCAAAAGCCGGTTCCAAGATTCAGTCAAAGTAACTTGTGAGTCTCATTTCAGTGAAATACGCATCAGTAAGCACTACTGATGCAACAGTACGTTGGAAATACGTGTGCTGAATTATTATTATTTTTCAAGTAATATATATTGTTCAAGTGATACATCATATTTAGACAAGGTGGCCCTTCCTGAAGGGAATATCAGTCATATCAGATGGAAAAAAATAAACATTTGTTTAAGGAATCCTATACAATTACGTAATAAGTCTCAATGAAGTAAAGACAGTTTTCTGTCCAGTTAATAATGCATAATGTGAGAGGGATCTTGGAGTCTTAGTGGACAACCAGCTAAATAGGATTGGGAATTGAAGTCCACCAGGCTTAAAGTTGCCAAGGTTGGAGACCCCTGGTGTAGGGACTCTCGCTTGGGCGGGGGGGGTGGCTGGGGTTGGACTAGATGACCTACAAGATCCCTTCCAACTCTGCTTATCTGTATCTACTGCATTCTAACCACTGCACCACTATGGCTCTTGGTATTAAAATATTCTTGGAGGTTAATGTGATATAAATAAGTATATAAATAAAAACAAATTAAAGCATAAAACCAAAAAAAACACGACAACACAGAGATAAAACTACCTATTAAAAAATGGAGATGATGTAATAGAATTTTGTAGCTGGTTGGAGGTGTGGGAGGAATGTCTCCAAATAGCACCACAGCATCAAAACACCTTCGAAAACTTCGCTGGAGGCCATCGGGGCCAGTCAAGTACCCCCAAATGAGGGGTCCCTCAACCCTTCATCGGATGCCTTTAAGCAGAAAAATGATCAGGTCCTGAGGGCGAAAGCAGCTCTTTCAAAACTTTATGAATCCAACGGTCTCGTCTATTAGAAAGGATACGGTCCAAATCACGGCCTCTCGAGAAGTCCAAACGTTCCCCCCCCCCCCCCCCCCCCCCCCCCCCCCCGCCCACCCCCCCCCCCCCCGAGACCCCCCCCCCCCCCCCCCCCCCCCCCCGGGCCTTCTCGCCTGCGGAACACGTGACCGCAAGAGGCCTACTTCGCGCTTCAAACTTCATGAATCCAACGGTCTCACCTATTAGAAAGGATACGGTCCAAATCATGGCCGCTCGAGGCCTTCTCGCCTGCGGAACACGTGACCGCAAGAGGCCTACTTCGCGCTGGGCACCTTCCCTCGCGTTCCGCGCTTTTCCCCCCCCTCGGCGCCTGCGCTTAGCCTGGGGAAAGCGTTAGGGTGGGACAGGGGTTTCTTGGAAAGCGGTTTTTGCGCGAAGGGGGCAAAATCGCGGGAAGAGGCCTTAAGAGAATTGGAGGTGAGGGGTGGATGGCTAACGGCGCGAATGTCCGCGTTGTCCCCGGGGGAGACGAGAGCAGTGAGAGCGACGACGACGGCTGGGGGATCGGGTTCATGTCCGAGGCCCAGGTGAGAGGCGATGGCGGCCGAGCCAGGTGCAAAGGGAAGGATGAGTCGGTTTCCTTTTGGACAAGCCCCAGGGAGCGTTGCTTC